GTGGGGAGTCTGCTTGAGGTTCTCTCTCCCCCTCTGCCTCTGCCCCCTGCCCCCAGCTCATGTACGCTTAGAATAAATGAATAAAAAAAATTTAAAATAAATAAAGGATTAACCTCCTATTGGACCCAGACAATAAAGCCTAACTTAGTTGCCTTCTACTTTCTGTGAAGCTTTTTTTTTTTTTAAAGATTTTATTTTTTAAAGATTTTATTTATTTATTTATTCATGAGAGACATAGAGAGCAAGCAGAGATATAGGCAGAGGGATAAGCAGGCTCCTCCCAGGGAGCCTGATGTAGGACTTGATCCCAGGACCCCGGGATCATGCCCTGCACTGAAGGCAGACGTTTGACCACTAAACCACCCAGGCGTCCCTACACTGTGAAGCTTTTGATCTCTCCTGGGTATCAGCATTCCTAAATAAGGGTGGAGAGGGGTTTCTCTAGTCCCGCTCTGGGTACTTAATCTGTGTGGCTGATAGATCAAAATCAATAATTTTAACAGCAACCAGAGGAACTCAGATTTAATATGATGAAGAATTTCCTTACATTCAGACTATGCAGTAGTCTCCTACCTAAACTCTCTACCTCCATTCTTCCTCTATTTAATCCACTTTTGTGCAATATTAACAATGATTTCTTACTCCAAAACCATCAGTGGTGGGGCGCCTGGGTTGCTCAGTCAGTTAAGTGTCTGCCTTTTGCTAGGATCATGGTCCCAGGGTCCTGGGATTGAGCCCCAAGTCAGGCTCCCTGCTCAGTGGGGGGCCTGCTTCTCCGTCTCCCTCCATCCCAGGCCAGGCTATCTCATATAAGGGATACTCAAAAGCAGTAGTAGCTGGTCTCCAAGGAGCTCTCTCTCCTTCCCAATGAACCATGCCTCTTGGTATTCATACCCTGTATAGTCCTCTGCATCTGAACTGGTTCTGTGACCAAGAAAAGACAAAGAAATTGACATTGTTACTTCCCAGGCTAGGTTTTAAGAAACCTTGCCCTTCATTGCTTAGATCTCTCATTATACTCACTCTTGGGATGCTTCTGCTCAGAATCCAGCCATCATGCTGTGAGAAGCCCAAGGCACATGAAGAGGCCATATGTAGGTACTCTACTCAACAGCCAGTACCAAGTGCCAGCCATGTGAGTTAGCCAGTGTGGATGTCCAGCCCAGCTGAGCCTCCACATGATTCCTGCTCCAACCTCCATCTGACTAAAGCAATATACCTCAACTGAGAACTGCCCAGATGAGCCCAGTCAACCTAAAAAACCAGGAAAGATAATAAAGTTCCAATTTTACTTAAGAATGTCCTAGATGAGGGGCACCTGGGTGGCTCAGTAGGTTGGGCAGCTGGCCAAGATTTCAGCTCAGGTCATGGCCTCAGGATGGTGGAGTTGGCCCTGCATGCTCAGTGGGGAGTCAGAGCCAGCTTGAGGTATTCTCCCTCTCCTTGTGTGCTAAGATAAATAAATTAATCTTTTTTAAAAAATGTCCTAGATAAGATGATAAAAATTGACGTTATTAAATAATGACCTTGAAGTATATGTCTTTTAAATACTCTTGTAACAAAATAAGAGTCATTGTTTGTCTCAGGAAAAATTTGAGATTGCGTTGCAAGCTAGTCTTTTTTTTTTTTTTTCATGAAACAACACTTTTACTTGAAAGAAAAGAGTAACAAATTATAATTATTTAGGTTTTGAGTATTTGACAGACTTTTTCTTAAAAATGGAGATTCAAGGATGCCTGGGTGGCTCAATGGTTGAGTGGCTGCCTTTGGCTCAGGGTGTGATCCCGGGGTGCTGAGATTGAGTCCCGCATTGGGCTCCCCCACAGGGAGCCTGCTGTTTCCTCTGCCTATGTCTCTGCCTATCTCTCTGTGTCTCTCATGAATAAATAAATAAAATCTTAAAACAAAAAAAACAAAAAACAGAGACTCAATTAAAAAAAAAACCTAACAGTATGGGGGCATCTGGGCAGCCCAGTCGGTTATGCACCCTACTTGTGGTTTTGGCTCAGGTCATATGTTGGGGTCATGGGATTGAGCCCTGTGTCGGGCTCTATGCTCAGTGGGGAGTCTGCTTGAGGTTCTCTCTCCCTCTCTCTTTACCCCTCTCCCCACACATGCACAGGCATATGCTCTCACTCTCTCTCTGAAATAAATAAAATACTTAAACAAAAAAATCAAACAAAAACCCTGACAGTGTGTCACCAGTGATAAAAATCAAGCTTTCAGGAGAAAATCCAAATTATGGAAAATTTGTATCCCCACTCTGAGCTTGACAGCCTCCCAATACTTGAATGCTTTGCTGTTGAGGTCAGTAGTATTCCTATGACTTAATGATACTGTAAAATGAAATATGTTAACATTTAGCGTTTCTGATGACCAACTTAAAGTAAAAGATCTATGCAAAGTACAAGATGGACCAATGGATCTTAATGTCACAAAGTATGAAAACTTGTGGTAAGGTTTCAGACTCTACATTCCAACTAACCTTTAAGAAACTACCACTTGTTGGGGTACCTGGGTGGCTCAATGGTTGAGTATCTGCCTTTGGCTCAGGGCGTGATCCTGGGGTCCTGGGATCAAGTCCCACATCAGGCTCCCTGAGGAGAGCCTGCTCCCTCTGCCTTTGTCTCTGTTTCTCTGTGTCTCTTATGAATAAATAGAATCTTCAAAAAAAAAAAAAGAAAGAAACTACCACTTGCTGAGGTTTGGTATAGTACCAAAGAATATCCACAATTATCTGCCAAAGCTATTAAAAACTGTTACCCCTCTCTTTCTCAACTACCTGTGTGAGGCCATATTTTCATCATAGCCTTCAAATACAACAACATACCTCAAGAGACTGAACATTGAAGCAGTTAGGAGAATCCAACTGTCTTCTATTAAAGCAGACATTAAAAGATCGCCAAAAATGTGAAACAATGCCACTTCTCTCAACCTTATTTTGAAAAATAGCTATTTTTTCTTTAAAAATGTCACTTGTGGTAAATGTACTTGGTTTATTATTACATTAAATGAATTAATAGGGTAGCCTGGGTGGCTTAGCGGTTTAGCACCACCTTCAGCCCAGGGCATGATCCTGGAGACCCAGGATCGAGTCCCATGTTGGGCTCCCTGCATGGGGCCTGCTTCTCCCTCTGCCTGTGTCTCTGTCTGTCTGTCTGTCTCTCTCTCTGTCTCTCACAAATAAATAAATAAAATCTTTTAAAAATAAATGAATGAATAAATTAGTAATTTAAAATAATTCCTCAGAGCTTATTAGTTTCTACTATGGTAGACAAAAGTTCATAGGTCTCTAATGATTTTTAAAAGTGTCTTTTAAGAGAGGGGTTCTTGAGGTCAAGAAGCTTGAGAATTGCTGTTCACGACATTTTAAAGTTGCCTTCAAAATTAACCAACTTTCTAAAAAAAAATAAAATAAAATAAACCAACTTTCTTTCAAGGCCCCATCTGAAACCCAATTTCTTCAGGGACAAAGCCGATTCAAAGTGATGACCTGCTCCTCTAAATGAGCATCCCTGACCATATTCTCAGAACCCACTAGCTCTCTTCATATTTTCAAAATCTTTTTGTGCCTATGTCTTCTCTTCCCGGTTAGACTCCACATTTTGTGGGGCCGGGAGGGGCACAGCCAAGGAACGTATCTGAAACATCTGTCACAGGAATGACCCACAAAAGCGCCTCAGATGGGAAAGACTAAGATAACGACCAAACTACAGTCTTCTGAGATTAGCACTGAAAAATCTGATAAAGCTCTAGCCTCACCTTTGACAGTGGAAACTAAGAAAGAACTTTCTTGCTAGGACCGGGAGCTCAAAGCTCAGGGATAAACTGGACAAGTGATGCCTGGACATGTACAGTTGCTGCCATTGTGGCCAGCTGCTGCTGGAGCAAAGGACACAGCAATTAACTCAGTAGTTCTCCTTGCTACGTTTATTCCCTCCCAGGGAACCTCGGGAGCCTCCCACACCCTCCTTCTTCCTCATTCACATTTCCTTCAAAGGAAAGGACTTGGTATGGGTTTGACAACAGAAGGGGCCCCTGCCTAAGGCCTTCCTGCAAGATCCACAAACGACCTGACCCCCCCTAGACTGACAGCCATATGGGCTCAGCACCCTGTTAGGTAACAGGAAAACCCACAGGGTGTTAAAGGCAGACAAAGGGAAGTGAAGCCCATAAACAGCTGCTGGAACCACTGAACTTCAGAGATTAAATCAGACAGGAGCGCATGTTTCCCCTGGCCCCCAGCAGCGACTTCACCATAGCGCAGCCTCCCAAATAGTTGAGACAATGAACATCGAATTCCCTGCAGCTCCCCTTCTGAGAGTTTATAAAATCTGCCAGGCATCCTGAGAACAAACAAACAGGGAAACAGTAATGAGAAGCCCAGAGCATTGTCAGACTCTGGTGAGAGCCTGCTACACCAGCAGAGATGGAAGGAAAAACCCTTGTGTGTTATGCCCAGATCTCATATATGCCAACAAACTATGGACCCGTCAGATAGGGACTGAATCTGTTTTTTTCTATCACCATTTCCCATGTGTCTAGTATGTGCTTGGTACATAACAGACACTCAGAAATGTCTATTACATAAATGAAAGAGAATGACAGACACCATCTTTGTGGCCTGGTACCCATATGAACAGAGAAAAGTTTGTATATTGATTCATTCAACAAATATTAGCATCTCCTCAGTGCTAGGCAGACCTAGACACAACAGGAAACAAAGTAAGTCAGTCTCTGCCCTTGTAGAATTTGTTTTAGCGGGTCTAAAGGTGAGAAATCTCAATGCTTCCCAAAAAACTACATAAGCCACAGACATTTAATAATTATTTAATTAAGAGCCTGCTATGTGTAAGCAATGAGTACCAAATGTTATGACAGGCACTTGGGATCTGGGAACTCAGCCCCAGTGAAATTATTTTATCTTTTAGGCCAGGATCCTAAATCTGGGGTGTGTCAGTCAGTCGTCAGGGGTCTTTGTATAAGGAAACTGGGATTACCTCTTTGGTGCATCTGTCCTCATCTGTCGGTGAACAGAAGCCACTGCGTGAGTACCATGTGCATGCCCAAAACACCACACAACACTGCAGAAGAGAAAGAAACCCAGTATCTTTAGTTCAGGTGCCAGGGGCCAGAAAAGCAGCATTAATGTTGTAATTAAACACCAAAGCTCAGAAACTGCTCCTAAACTGGCTCTTTCTTTGTCCCTCACACATGCACACCCTGAGACAGGTTATTCTGAGCCTGAGTCAGCAAATATTTCCCAATCCTGGAAGTAGTCTGCTCATTTCCAAGTAAGCAGACACCGGCTTTGCTGCTTTTACCAGGGGGAGGCAGAAATTGCTGGCAAAGTGAAGAAGGACCTGGAGCCCAACACCCCCCCACAGGTGGCAGCTCATAAATGGAGATGCCCTGAGTCATGCTTGAGTCCTTGGCCAAAGCCTAATGGCCACAGGACTAGAGTCACACCCTAATCACCAGCCTCTGAGTTATGAAGGCCAGGAACCATCTGCCAAGAAGACCCACATGTCTGAAACCTGACGCAAGGGGCCATCTCCTCCCTGCCAGGCTCAAACAAGTGTCCAGCTCACCTCTGACATAGTAAAATGCACCTGCTGCAAATGGCTCCACCCCTGGATCCAAAGGCACAGAAAAATACTAAAGGACATCAAACCATCTACAAGAAGCAGCCACTGTGCAATCTGGGGCAACATGGTACAGGCAAAGGCATCGCACACAGAACTTCTGACATGACACAAGCCAGAGCCTGGCAAGAGAGACAAAGTCCGTGGAAATGCTGCATAGGGAGGAAAAAAGAGAATGATCCCAGCATGGACAGTGCAGGGCAATCGGGAAACTCCTGGCACTTCCAGGTCCTACTAGGCTCTGGAGGAAAGCCCTGAAATTTAGCTTCTAGCCAGCAGGGAGCACCCTGGGAGGTAGGCCGCAGTGAGACAAGACATACAGCTGAAGCCTTTAGAAGTGACAGGTCCAACTCTTCTGAGACAGAGGAGCTGCACTGTCCCAGGACATGCCAGGATCTGCAGGCCCTCGGGACAGCTTGCACAACAGCCAGAACAGCTGCACTCTCCAAAGCAGAGCTTACATGCTTCCCCGGCCGGCGTACAACACTGGCTGGCCTCTGTCAAGCATTAGGGAAGAGATCTGAGGGACCATAGGTGGGGTAAGGGTCATTCTTTTTGAATGGGTAGAGGCCCATGCCAAAGGGAGAAGAGTGGTGGACAAGCAAGAAGAAAGACAGCCAGACAAAAAAGATCAGTCCATTCAACTAAGGAGTTGATGGGCTACACTATCTGGAGAATAATGTCAGGGGCCTGCCTGCCCACACCTTTGACCCAAACTCTGCAAAAATCACTGGATGGGAACTTGGTAACTGATGACCCTGACTGTCCACCAAGGCCGCAGAGTGGACAAATTGCAAGAAGCTATCCAGCAGAGCTGGTGGTGCCCACGCTATTCTGTAAGGTCTGGGCTTGACCTCGGCTTAAAGCCCTTCTCACCTGCTGCCTCGGTGGAGTGTAACCACTAATGGGTAAGTGAAGACAGAGGAGTAGCAAACTTCTCAAAAGAGTTAGGTAAAGTCCTTGGGAGTAGGGGTTGGACCAACTCACTGCCAGACACACAACCTCAACTTCATCAGAATGACCCATTAAAACCCTAGAAGGGTGCTCTTCATAAGAACAAGGGACCCCTTTTGGTCCACTCTGCCCAAATCCTGCCCAAGTACTGTTAAGGAAGGGGCTGAGGGGATCCCTGGGTGGCGCAGCGGTTTGGCACCTGCCTTTGGCCTACGGCACGATCCTGGAGACCCGGGATCGAATCCCACGTCGGGTTCCTGGTGCATGGAGCCTGCTTCTCCCTCTGCCTGTGTCTCTGCCTCTCTTTCTCTCTGTGTGACTATCATAAATAAATAATTTAAAATAAAAAAAAATTAAAAAAAAAAAAAAAAGGAAGGGGCTGAGGGGTCAGTGGAGAGGAGACTGGCTCAGCCATCCACAGTCCTATTCCTTTCACAGAAAAGGATTCCAAAACATAAAGTCTGGTCTAAGCTGGTTCACTTGGCTCTCCACCACAGCTCCTGAAGGGTGCCAATTCTGAGTCCAATTCTGGCTCAAAGACAGAGAGCAGGATCCTCAAAAGAGGAGACCTAGAAACCCGGAGCCAGGTGAAACAGCAGGCCTTCATTTCTTTTTTTTTTTTTTCAAAGATTTTATTTATTTGACAGAGTATACTTTATTTAAATTTATTTATTTATTTGACAGAGCACAAGCGTAAGACAGAGGGAAAAGGAGAAGTAGGATTCCCGCTGGGATCGTGACTGGAACTGAAGGCAGACGCTTAACTGACTGAGCCACCCAGGCTCCCCAAAAGGCCTTCATTTCTAAACGTGAGTGGGTCACGCACTCAGAATCCTCCAGATCAGACTGAGTAGAAACAGAGGATAATGTTATTTCCTAAAGATCTCTCCGGGGTACCAAGGCCAAATAAAGGAGCTAAGATTGAAGGCATCTGAAAAGAACTTTCTGCCTGACAAGGTTAAACCCCCAGACATACCAGGAAGGCGGTGGGCTCTCTAGCCGCAGACAGGACATCCCTATGACTGGAAGCCACTCAAATTCCTGACACCATCTAATGCAGTTCCACAACCTTCCCAGGCAGGTACCCACCTGACAGGGCAAAGGGACCAGAACTTAGGATCAGCGTCTCTCTTGGATCAATAGGAAATGAAGCTCTCAGGGAAAATGGAGGGAGAAGAATCTTCAAGAGAACCTGCTAAGTGACTAACATCAAAGGCCCTAACATTCAGTGGCTCAGAGATGCAGAGTGAAAATCAGAAGCTGGTTGTGACCAATAACAGATGGGGCAGATGCCTGCCAGCCCCAGGGCTATCGGGCTGGCAATCTATTTCAAAACTCAAGTAAGAAAAAAATGTCTTGGAGCCAGTACAGAAGAAAAGGGTAAAGCATTCTCTGGGGCACAACTTCTGAAGACTCCTCTTAGCTCTTGGGGACGGGGCTCAGAGTGGGAATGAGGGCAGAGATAATCTGGAGTATGATTGTATAACTGTGCTTGGTACATCCAGAGTGGAAAGACATAGAGCCCTGTTTCCTGGAAGGGGAAAAGAGTTGGACAAGGCCTCCAGTTACCCCTGGCACATGCCCAACTCAGCGGCTGCTCTCTCCCCAAGGGTTCCTGGAAGTCAACAGACCCATAAAGGGGAAGTTTTAAAGCTGAGATCAGAAGAATGGTCTACAAATTGGACCTCACCCCTGATGCAACACCCAAGTAAATGCTCCCATACAGACATGCCTGCTGCTTACCTCGGACATTCAGCCCCTTACTTCAATCCCTGGCTGAACAGCCCCCACCCCAACCCAGCGGTGTCTCAACAGCAAGTCAAGGGAAAGCAAAGCAGCATGTGGAGCTAACTCTTCTCCCAGAGTAGAAGTGAGGGAATGGGAGGTAGGTGACAGGAATGCAGGGGACAAGGCTCAATCACAAGGAAATGAGGGAGAAACAGGGCAAAAACAGGGCCTGGGTGGGGGGGAGCCAGGGTAGAAGGGGCTTAGGGAGATAGATAGGGACTGCCGGCAAGGGGCTGAAAGAGCCTAATAACGCCGCGAAGATGACGAGGAGGACCCGTCACCCAGAGAGGGAGCCAGGGACGGGAAAAGAGAGCAATGACAGGGCAAGGATGGGAGGAGAAGGCAGGAGATGAAGACATGGACAGGGACAGAGACCCTGGGTAGAGAGGGCACCCATGGGTCTGGAGACACCAGGGAAGGGACGAAGGAAGAGGTCAGAGGCAACAGGAGGGAACGGGAGAGGACGCCGAGCCCCAGACCCGGCTCTCAGGACACAGAAGGGGCAGGAGACGGAGCCACTAGGCCCAAGAGAGGGCACGGAGTCGCGTGGGGGAGGCCCCGCGCTTCGGGGGTCCCGAAGCTCGGGGGCGCAGGGCCGGCGGGGCGCCAGGAGAGCCACACACCGCCGCGGACCGGCCCGGGCCCGGGTGCCGGGAAGCCGCAGCCGCGCGGCCCGCGGACCCCTGCCGCTCCCCCCGGCCCGCTCCCCGCCGGGCCTCGCGCCCCGGGCCCGCCTCAGCGCCGGCCCGCCGCCCCCTGCCGCCGCCTGCCCACCGCTTCCCCGCCCCGGACTGACCTGCCCCGGCCGCCTCCCGCGCCGCCGCCGCCGCCGCCGCCGCCGCCGCCGCCGCCGCGGTCCCGCAGGCTCCGCAGGCTCCTCCGAAACCTGCCACTGCCCAAACTTTTCCCATTAATCCCCAGCTCCGCGGCCGCCGCGGCGTCACACGCTGCGCGGCTCGGCCCCGCCCCCGCCCCCGCCCCCGCCCCCTGACGTCACCGCGCAGCTCGGGCCTCCCTCGGCTCCTGTCCACGCCCCCTTCCGCCCCGGCTGGGGCCAATCACCGCGCGTCCTGGTTCTGCGCTCCGCCCGCCGCTCGCTACCCAGCGCCCGCCTGCAGCGCCCTCTGGTGCGGGAGGCGGGCGCGGCGGCCGAGGCGGGCGCGAGAGTGGGGATGTCCCAGGGCCAGCAAAACAAGCCTGGCGAGTATCGCGAAAGGGAGTTTAAAGCTGGAAGAGAATTTAGAGGTCGTCTAATACAGCCTCCACGCCCTTCCAGTGAAGAAACAGTCCCAGAGGGACGCCTGGGTGGCTCAGTGGTTGAGCGTCTGGCTCTGGCTCAGGTCGTGATCCCCGGTGGAGGGATCAAGTCCCACGCTGGGGATCCTGCGAGGAGCCTGCTTCTCCCTCGATGTCTCTGCCCCTTTCTGTGTATGTCTCATGAATAAGGGAAGGAAGGAAGGAAGGAAGGAAGGAAGGAAGGAAGGAAGGAAGGAAGGAAGGAAGGAAGGAGGGAGGGAGGGAGGGAGGGAGGGAGGGAGGGAGGGAGGGAGGGAGGGTCCCAGAGAAGGTGAGCAACTTGCAGTGAGAAGCAAAGCCTGAGCCTCCCAGACTCCCCTGGAGGAGTCAGTGCTGCCCATAATTTTAATGAATTGCCTTTCCTCCCTGGACAGGCTTCTATAACTAGAAATTTATGGTCATGGAGTTTTTACCTCTCTTCCTATGTCCTTATGTTATATTATTGTCCACCTAAATGGGGAGCATCCTCCTTACTGCTGTAGCAAATTCTGTTCCTGCTTCTTAACCCAGTTTTTCAAGACTTGGAAGGGACCTGTTCTCCCAACCTGTCCCTTCAGATATACCATAAAAAGATACCTAGCAGCTGGTAGGTGGTACGGAAGAAGTTGGGTTTGTCATCTGGCAGAGGAACAAAACTTGACTCTCAGGTATATGAGCAATGGCTGACTCCCTTCTCAATACCGTCTTTAAAACTAGGATTACCTCTTCCCTCTGGAATACATTCCTCAAGCCACACCCTCAGATGTCTGGATGATAGAACCATGAGGGATTTTTTTTCCCCCGCTTCTCTCTCTCTCTCTCTTTTTTTGAATTTTTGAAATAAGTGTGCATTATTTTTGTAATTTAGACATCAACCTCCTTGTCCTTTGAGACTGAAATAAGAATGAATTGTAGAGATCAAAGCCTTCCCTAAGATTCCTGCAAATTTCTGGGAACTGATATTCTTCTAAATCTCACCGGCTCCAGGCTCTTGTTTTTGCCAGGCTGTTGTGGTGGCACAGTTCAAAAATGTAGAGATGAAACAGCCCTTCCTGAGGACTGCCCACATGTCTTCCCACACAAAGCATTCATGGGCAGAGAAGACATTATGATGCCTTGAGCCCTGGAGCAGGGTCACATGATGATGCATTGCAAACAGTTTAGACTCACACACCAGACATTCTTTAGAGTCTTTTCTGAACAATCCATTTGAGGTTTTCTAACTGGCCCTTCACCTCTGAGGGTCTTGCCTTCTCCTGAATCACTACCTCTCCTGCCTGCCTCATCATTCTCTCCTCTACCCCACCCTCTCTGGAGAAAAACAAATTCTTCCTGATTTCCAGGCAGACAGACAACTTAACCTTATCTCTTCATTGCTAGGGGTCCTGCCAACACTCATGCCCTGAACATCTTACTTTCTACCCCCAAGAGATTTATTTCTCCTAATAAAAGCATCTCTCTTCCTAAAAGAAATTGGCAAATACTGTCAAGAAATTACATTTCCGCCTCATTTCATTTTTATTTTTTTAAAAAGATTTTATTTATTCATGAGAGACACAGAGAGAGGCAGAGACACAGGCAGAGGGAGAAGCAGGCTCCATGAAGGGAGCCCGATGTAGGACTCGATCCCGGGTCTCCAGGATCACGCCCTGGGCCGAAGGCAGGTGCTAAACCGCTGAGCCACCCAGGGATCCCTCATTTCATTTTTATATTAAAAAGAGATATACAGAGAGAGAATATTACATTTGTTTATTTTAAATTATTTATTTATTTATTCATGAGAGACACACAGAGGCAGAGACATGGGCAGAGGGAGAAGCAGGCTCCATGAAGGGAGCCCGATGTGGGACTTGATCCCAGAACACTGGGATCATGACCAGAACTGAAGGCAGATGCTCAACCACTGAGCCACCCAGGTGCCCTGAGAGAATATTATATTTAATAAGTATGTATTTAGCATTTAGACCACATAAATCCATTGCCCATTGCAATATTATTTAAAAAACAAAAACCTGGAGCTAAGCTCATTATCAACAACAAAGAAATGTTTAGGTAAATTACGTTGTATGCTCCCGATAGAATATCATGCTCTGTAAAGTTGGTAAAGAAATGGGGGGAGGGGAATGTTATGATATAGTATTAAGTGGTAAAAGGCAGAATCTGATGATATATATAGCTTGGAAAACAAAAAGGGATAGAGAAAACCTGAAAGGACACACTAAAATATTGTCAGTTGTTGTCTTTGGGCTGTGTTTCCTTTTTTTAGGATTTTATTTATTTGAGAGAGAGAGCACAAGCAGGGAGAAGGGCAGAGGGAGAGGGGGAAGCAGACTCCCTATTGAATAGGGAGCCCCTCACGGGCTCAATCTCAGGACCCTCTGGGATCATGACCAGAGATGCTTAACTGACTGAGCCACCCAGGAGCCCTTGGGTTGTGTTTCTATGAGTTATCATCTTTCTACATTTTTTTTTCTGAGCACTTCTTTTTCATAAAGGAAACATGGTTGATTGGTTTTTAAAGACCAAAAAGGTAACATCTTCCTTATATTGAGCAGAAATTTATATCCTCTAGTGTGCCAGCTGGTCAGTCCTCTCCCTTGGAGGTAATAAAGTAAATCAGATTATTTTCCATGTAAGAGACCTTCTGATGTTTGATCCCATCCCCTTGGAGTCTTCAAGCTACAACACCCTAGTTCTCCTATAAAATGATTATGGCTCCCTTTACCACCAGATTGCTAGCCTCAGAATGTACCGTTTTATGTATACCCATCCTCTTCAAGGCTTCTTTGCTTTTGGCCACCTAATTTCTGAATCACCTTCCCATATTTGGGGAATCTCCCCCTTTAGACTCTTCCTCCACTGTAGAAGCTTCTAGCCCCCTTTTCAGCCAGGGCATAGCCATACAACTAAGGTTTTACCAGAAGTTGGAAAGATGAAAAGCTGGGAACTGCACATAATCCATTTGGGTAAGTGGCAGAGCAGCAGCTCCACCTAGCTTCTAGCTGTAAGAAGCAGCAGTTGTAAGAGCAGTGTCTAGCACCAGTGATATTAGCCATGAAATCAGCAGCATCTATCCCCAGGCAAAGCAGCTGGGGTGTCTTCATAAGAACTGTAGTGTGCCATCATTTGAGGTATTTTTCCTGACTATACAGCCTCCAATGTGGCTTTCTTTCATCCTCCCAGTTATTTAAGGAACTCTTCTATACTCTATTAATAAATTCCCTTTTTACTTAAATCGGTCCATTTCTGTTTCTTGAATCTTCATTTTAACCAGATTTGTCCACAGGCACAGTTCAGAGGGGGGAAAGTTGGTCCCTGCCAAGCCTCTGTAACCTTTTCCAGACCAGCCAGGGATCTTAGATACCAAAACCTGTTCTGATGCCCAATTACAGTATAACTATGATATATAACTGAACAATATAACTGAACAATAACTTATGGTGTGGAATAAAGCTAGATCTGCTTTGAATTAGATTCCAACCTCCACCACAGCTATTTCAGACCCCAGCCAGCAGTTGGGAGACTCCTTAGCCTACTCAAATCAGCCTCCTTCCTCCCCTTCTCACCTACAGCAGGGGCCAGAGAGGCAACTCTCAGCTGGCACCTCTTCTACCTAGATAGACACTGCACTCAAGGAGGCATCTTGCAGATCCTGCCAACAATTCACAAGAAGCCTGTTGCACTCCAGCCCAGCCAATCATCCTACCTCCCTACTCCCCCTCACATATAAGCCATACTGGGATGACTTGAGCCCACAATGGCACTGCTCTCCACCTGGTCTCCAGAGTTGATGAGGATCTCCGAGGGCATTGGAGATTGGATGCACTCTCCCTTGTCCAGATGTTGGAAAGGACAGAGGAGTTGCTTTCTAATCCTGGAATTATAAGACTGGAAAATATTTTCTCCAGCTGTTTAGTTCTGTCCCTCAAGACTGAGAGCCTTTCGTGCCAGTTCCAATGTGGATGGTATTCAGGCATCTGGGGCGATCTGCCTTTCAGTATCTCATCCCTCAACCATCAACGCCTCCCTGTGGCTGGTCATGGAATATTCAAAAGCCCGGAATGGACCCCATTTACAGGTGAGGAAAACCAAAGCTTAGGGGTTGGCTTAACACCTCAAGCTAAACTCTACCTAGTTTCCAAGGATGTCTATAATCAGGCCTCATTCTACCTTCCTAGTCATGGGTCCTTCATGGTAGTAGTCTTCAAATTTTTTTGCCTCTCTATTCCTAAAAGAAAATACAATCTATTCCTAAAAGAAAATATAACTATGTAGCTTATAAATGTACAAGGGTACATTTTTAAAGTGACATCTAATATTTTTCTCCATTAGTTTAAAACTTAAAATGTAGAGAATGGATGTCATTTCTACTGCTTTATAAATATTTACATTTTCTTTTTTTTTAAGATTTTATTTATTTATTCAGGGGATCCCTGGGTGGCGCAGCAGTTTGGCGCCTGCCTTTGGCCCAGGGCGCGATCCTGGAGACCCGGGATCGAATCCCACGTCGGGCTCCCGGTGCATGGAGCCTGCTTCTCCCTCTGCCTGTGTCTCTGCCTCTCTCTCTCTCACTGTGTGCCTATCATAAATAAATAAAAAAAAAAGATTTTATTTATTTATTCAGAGAGACACAGAAAGAGAATGAGAGGCAGAGACACAGGCAGAGG